GAGAGAGAGAGAGAGAGAGAGAGAGAGAGAGTCCAATGACTAATATATTAAATAGAAAGTAGGATAAATATATATTGTGCGGGAGGGCCCAAACATGACACTCTGATTACACGATAACCACCACATTCAAATGGTTCCAACAAGACAAAATACAAAAAAAATACATGAGAAACAAAAAGAAAAAACCAAAAAGTGTCAAAATACGGAGTATTGGGTAGCTAGAGAGCTACCCAATTTTGTCCTGCCTCGGCCTCTAGTTCTAGGGAAGGAGCAAGCTAATAAATTGGTAAGATGAAGATCTTTGCCAGTAGTAATCAATGTGTCATCCAATAAGTTCTTGAGCTCGAGCCAGCCTCTATTCTTCTTCTTTCTCATGGATTAGACCTGTCATTCCTCATCCAAAGATTGGCTCACCTGATCAGTGGATTGGTCTAAAGCGTGTCGGACATGTGTATGGTATTGAACATTAGAAACAGTTACTTGTTGTACCAGATGATATTTAATCTGATCGAAAGAGCACTTTCGTGTGTCTTGGCATGTAAGTGGGCATGTAAGTGGGTCTTCTTCGAATATTCTTGAATAATAGTAAGTGGTATAAGCACTTTTTGATCTGTACCTGTAGTATGATGTTCTTCATCAGAAACTGCGGTGCTGGAAAGAGGATCGAGTTGCACCTTCTCAGCAGGGATGGTAGGTGGCTGATCTTTAGTGGTATTTTTCCCTTTGGGTCTGAGTAGTCATTCCCTGTTATCATTTCCATTTTGATTCAACTAATTTTCTGTTTTCAGTTTAATTGTATTGGTGACCATATCAGATTAATAATATATATATATATATAATATATATTATTTTGCATGCAAGTCTTTCCTTGTATGTTCATTTCTTTTTAACATGCTCTGCATCGTTGAGATGCACCGTATTCTAGACTTAAGATGCCACACAAAGCATCTATATTTGCTCAAGTTCATGCCCCTCATTTAACTCCTTACGTTTATAAGCTTTAAGCTTGCCCCATAAAATCATATTTATTTTATTTTTTAGCTCCGGACCATATAAATGGCGTTGTATTGCCACATGGAATGCCATGGATGGTCAGTCACTCACTAGTGCGAGAAGGGGTAGAGGATTGCGTGTACTGCTAAACCCTACTCAAAGCCCTAATTCGAGGATTGCAATCTTCTCGTAGCCAGCCATTGCTGCTACATCGAGCTCAAAACATCTACTTGATATGGCCTTCGGAGTTTTCAGTCCCTCCCTCTTCAAGCCATTTCTTCCTCCTCCAACCCCACCCCACAAAGTATTCCTCGTACTGCCGCTGCATCTTCTCATTCTTCTTATTACTTTTATGAATTTCATTATTTCTTTTTGAATTCATCTTCTCGATGCAATTAGCTAATAACCAGTGATTTCGAGTTCAGTAATTTATTGAAATCAAAAGGCAATACAACTGCCTTTGTTTTGGTTGGCATTTTTGAGATGATTCTGGAAATTTTTGCTATCTAATTTGGGTTAATTACGAATTTGGCTTCTTGCTTCTTCGACCAGATGAACAGCTAGAGATTGATTTTGAGGAAATCCTTCTTCTGTATTTTATTTTCTAGGGTTTTGTTAAAATTGTATGTACGATAGGATTGTGATTTTAACATAGCATGAACATGAAAAATTGGGATTTGCATCAGCCGCCATCTCCGTGGCTTGGTTTTTTAGGAAAATGAGGGAAAGGTTTCAGACTTTTGTAACTGAGATTCCTAAAGCCTTATAATGTTATCCTGTCGTAGTAAAGAAAACTAGAAAAGTAGATGCCTTGTAGCATAAGTGACGCTATACTTTGGTTGCCTTTTGAAATCTGGAAAAAACCTATCCAGTTTATACTCTTTTTTTAGGAGCAATTTACATACCTACCACGCAATACCTATAAATTTACATGCTAACATAAAAAACTTTATATTTACAGACATGCGGCTGAAATTAGTAATATCATATCAAAAATACCAGCATCACTACTTCTTACAAATGAAATACACTTTTTCATGCATATGTTTATGATACTAAGTTGTTATTAGCGTAAATATCAACTTTGGGTGTTAGATATGTAAATACATAGTAATTGTGCGGTATGTATGTGAATTTCCCTTCTTTTAATTATTTTTGTAGAGACCTTTCACCTTAAGTTAACCTCTGAATAATTCTTAACTGCCACCATCAGATTTCTAGTGTAGATCTTCAAAACTAGAACTGTGCTATCAAGTAAGGGGAAGTAAGGGGATTTATTGTTGCAAAGTTTGGAAATTTTACTCAGCCATTGTAGTTTTCTTGAAGTCTTTTTGTGTTACAAATAGTTTGCTTTTTATTTTTCTTAGAGATTCAGATTTAGCTTCATGAACATTGTTTTGGAAATGATATTAATCAAACATTGACTTACTTTGATGGAGTGGGATTAAAGTAATGCGCACATGGAAAACACAAAAAGAAATAGACAAGAATATAGGAGTGATGTGTAAAAATCTTTCATAATTTTGAATGTAGTAATCTCTGTGGTTTTAGAGAGAAAATATTAAAAAAAAAAGGTTATAAATATTACAAGAAGAGAGGGGGAATCTGACATTGTTTTAGTTTACTTTTTATCTCTAATATTTGTCTATAGTGAATATTTTATAGCGCGAGACACATTGCCAAATAAGAATAAAAGTAGTTGGGAAGATTTACATGCTCACCACTTAATTCCTATGTATTTACATATCTAACACCTAAACTTAAATTTTTACATATATGCCACCTTATCTATGCATGAAAATGTGTGTTTCATTTTTTTAAAGTAATGATATTTTTGATGTGATATGAAAGATTTGGGTGGTTAAAATGTAAAAGGAAGTTTAGGCCTTGGATATGTAAATACATAGGAATTGGATGGTATGTATGTAAATGTCCCAAGAAGTTATGTGAAAATGTTAACTGGTTTGTTACAACAACTTTGAAGTGTTGGGCCTTCATAGCCATAAAAAATGTAAAGACACATACAAGAAAGAAAACATGACATGTTAAAACTTGTTGGATGTTGAATGGAAGTTGTCACTTCTTTTTTTTTCTGTTAAAAGCAGCAGCATTTGCTATCATACAAGTCTAGATCTTTTTTCCATTTTAGCGCGTATTTTTTGTGGCCTGTTAGGAAGGTGTATCAAAACTAATTTACAGATGTAAAATCCCACCATTCATTGAATGAATCAGTTGGTGAAAATTTATACCGTTTGGTGATACTTGTTATGATATCTCATATATTTTAGTGTATTAAGATTTAATATATTGGGTGAAATATTTCCTTTTTTGTAATGTTAACATCGTAAAGGAGGAAAACTTCTGTTATTTAATGGGCTTCAAATTGTAAGCAGGAAATCATCTATTGTATTTGCGATTGGATAACACAAACTTCTACCAAGCATGTATGCGTAATATTTTTTCTGGGTCCTGGTTAGATCCATAGATCTTAGGCAGATGGGATAATAGTAGCATGACATATAAGGTTTGAAAACTTGCACTGGAATGTGCGATGTTGATGTCTTTATAGGTTATATACGGATGCATTGGATTTAAAATTATGTAATTGGGTATTTTAGTGTTTTTCATTCATTAGGCCACCGAAAAATTTAGAATCAACAAGTTATATAAAGTTAGAAGTATTATCCTAAAATCCAAATATGAAAGAAGAAGTAAAATTCTAATTTTCTAATTTATTAGTCTATTAAAAATAACATAATAGCATCCTAATATATTGAAAAGTGTAAATTACACAAAATAAAAGTAACATATTAATATTCTAATGTAAAATCATAATGTAAGAAGTTTCATGCAAATTTTAGAGTAAAATAAGATGTCAAAATAAGAACTAATGGCATAACAATTCAAAAATAAGCTAACCACAATAAGTCTTTCCCCTACACCAAATGTTTTATATTAAGATAAGAACATAGCAAGCTACTAAGGTTAGAAATTTTAAATATAAAAGTTTCTGTCACTCTCCTCACTCAGTGGGTCTTCATTAGTAACTTAGGCATGGAGAATTATCTTCTCATTTTTCTCTTTGAGTCCTCTTTCTTTTTTATCACAATCATCTTCCTCTTTTATAATCCATAATGAATATTATTGAAATTTTAAAATGACAGCTTTAATTACATAAAGTTTATTGTTTTTTTTACTTGCTGGCTTATGTTAGACTTATTGATCTTACTTTTCAAAGAAATTAAAGTTGAGATCGTTTTATTGCAAATTGGATTGTGTAACTTCATATCATCATCACAAACCATTAATCCGGTGACACGTCATTACAAATTAAGAAAATTTTTGTCATTCTTTTAAATCCTTTTTATTTCTAAATTTCTATTCTTCAATTGCATGTCGTACATCATATAAATTAAGATGTTCATCCTTAAGTTTCTCAAACATTGTCTTTTTGGTATAAATTTTATTGTATTTGCTTCAATTACATAGGAAAATTAATATCTTATGTATTCAAGAAACTAAGTGGGTTAGACAAAAGGCTAAGGAGATTGATAATTTAGGTTTTAAATTTTGGTATTCTGGTAAGAGTCACACTATAAATGGTGTAGGTGTAATTATAGATAAGAGTTTGAAAGATAATTTTGTAAAAATTAATAGAATTGGAGATAAAATTATAGCTCTTAAGATTATCATTGATACTAAATTTTTTAATATTATAAGTGCTTATGCTCCTCAAGCAGGTTTAAATACAGGGTTTAAAGTTAAATTTTGGAATGACTTAGAAGACTTAATACAAATGATACCTCTTGAAGAAAGAATTTTTATTGGAGGAGATTTAAATGGACATGTCGGTAGAGTGGTAGAAGATTTCAGAAATATTCATGGTGGCTACGATTTTGGAGTAACTAATAAAGAAGGTAAAATTATTTTAGATTTTGCATTAGAGTATGATTTTGTTATTACTAATACTTTATTCAAGAAAAGAGATGAACATCTTATTACTTATAAGAGTGGATCTAATAAAACACAAATTGATTATTTTTATATGAGAAGAAGAGATCGTCGCGATTGTAAAGATTGTAAGGTCATTACAAGTGAAAATTTAAGTACTCGACATCGTTTATTAGTTCTAGATTTTAATATTAAGAGTTGTAAAATAAAGAATACTAAGACTCAACATTGTAGAATTAGATGGAGAAACTTAAAAAACACAAATAAAATTATTTTAATGAGTAAAATTCAAGATTTCAAAATTTGAGATATTCATGAAGAAATAAATGTTATGTGGGATAAAGTAACAAATACTATTAAACAAGTAGCAAAAGATGTGCTTGCAGAATCAAAAGAAAAAATTTTTATAAATAAAAATAGTTTGTAGTGAAATAATAATGTGCATGAAAAGATAAAATATAAGAAGTTATGCTATAAAAATCAGTTTAAATGTAAAAGCTTAGAGAACTAGAAAAAATATCAAACGGCCCGCAAATAGTCTAAAAAAATAATCTGTGAAGCTTAAAATTATACTTTTAGTGATCTTTATAACAGATTAGATACTAAGGAGGGTGAAAAATATATGTATAAACTAGTCAAACAAAGAGAAAAAAAGAGTAAAGATTTAACTCAAGTAAAGTGTATTAAAGATAAAAATCAAAAAGTGATTTTCTTAGAACATTTTTACCGTCGCATTAGTAAAAAAGAAGTTGAGGAGGCTTTAAAGAAAACCAAGGGTGAAAAGTCTGTAGGACTTGATGATATCCCAATTGAAGTGTGGAAATATTTGGGAGATTTGAGAGTTTCTTGGCTTACTAAACTCTTTTTAATATTATTTTAAAAATTAAAAAAGATGCCTGAGGAGTGGAGGAAGAGCATTTTGGTCCCTATTTTTAAGAATAATGGGGATGCACAAGAGTGCAAATTATAGAGGAGTGCAAATTATAGAGGAATTAAAAGGAATTAAATTGATGTGTCATTCTTTAAAGTTATGGGAGAGGGTAATTGAACATAGGTTAAGACGCATCACAAATATTTCTCATAATCAATTTGGATTTGTGTCAGGCAGGTCTAATATGGAAGCTATACATTTATTGAGAGGTTTGATGGATTAGTTCAGAGATAATAAGGGGAATCTACATTTGATTTTTATTGATTTAGAAAAAGCTTACGATAAGGTTCCAAGAGATATCCTTTGGAGAGTCCTCGAGAAGAAAGGTGTTGATATGACCTACATTTAAGTCATTAAAGATATGTGTACTAGAGTTGTCTTGTGTTCAAACTGAAGGGGGATTGACCAAATATTTTCCCCAA